CTATCCACGAATTACTCAATAGTCCATTTATTACCTGGGGTGGGGGGTGCGTCTGTGTGTCCCAGCGTGTGAGCTTTGTGAGAGAGAGGGGGGAGTGTGCGGGCAGGTGTACGACAGAGAGGCATGGCCATGCCAGGAAGGCGCAAAATAGAAAAATGGGAAGAAGGGGGAGAAGGAAAAAGATTTCAGGATAATACTTTATCTGAGTCAACCTACGTGTCATTAGGGAATAGAACATACGTCTGAGCAACAAGCTGGGGGTCGCTCTTACATAAGGAGTGCGCAGTCGGTGGTCACCAACAGGAGGTGAGTGTGCAAGGGTGACGTTTTCCTACACAAGCACCGCACCGCTCTTGGGACTCTAACAACCCTGAGCACGTAAGACAACGTCCTGACATATGTAGGAGGAGGGAAGGCCTCACAAGACACCCCAAATGGGCTTTTCCTTTCATCACCTCCTAAGTAGTGTGCAAGCTGACCATGAAATTCAGTGGAAAGTTTCATATCAGTGGACTCACGACGCTATTTGCCGCCTACGGCTCGGGTCCTCAGAGGTCACCGAGCCACTCGCACGTTGGCGTCTGGAGTGGAAGGTCGTGGAGCCCCCACCGGGAGTGTCCAGCGAGGAGCGCCCCGGCGGCTGCGACCAGTCACCTAGCAGCGTGTGAAGCCAATCTCCTTCCAGAGGCCTTTCTTTCCTTGCTGTCATTTTGAAGCCACCCCTGCCTGCCCGTGTGACCTAGCGGACGGCGTGCTTTACAGCACAAAGATCTGAAATCAGGTTCTAAAGAGGGATCCTGATCGAAGGTGTCTGGAAAAAAAAAATGCACTCAGTTTCTTTCATACCCTAAGGAGACCTCCTCCCGGCAGTCTCGCTCAGCATCTAGATACCTAGTGACTAAGAGCACAGTCACCCTGGGGACCGCCAAGTCCTAGAGGAGGACCCGGTGCCAAAACTGAGAGGTCTCCGAGTTATTTTTTTGTAGGGTGTAAGAGCAAAGGCATCCCACGTGTCTCAAGAAATAAGTGAAAGTCACGACCTAGTTCTTCCTCCTTTTAACAAAAGTGACTTCACAGAAAGCCGGACGTGTCCCAGGATGGCCCAGCTGACTAACTCTTACTGTGACACGTGCGCTCGCGGCTCCAAGACATGAGGCCAACTGATAAAGGGCTTTTGCTTCATTTTCCAGAAGTAAGTTCTGTTCTGTTCCATCCACTTGCTCAATCTCTATTCTCTCATTCATGTGGAGTAAGGGGATTGGCCACAAACGCCGCCAGCAACTCCCAGAGGATTCTTGAGATATTTCAGTGATGTGCTAATCTCCTTGTCTGTACTTTCATGAAACGATTATCAGAAACGGAATCAGCAATTGGAAGGACTGGAAAGAGCTTCCACTAGACCCATTTCCCTCATGTGATCATTTCCCACCCATTGTCATACCAAAGCCCCTGTTCTTTTGTTAAGTAGAATAAGTCACCAGGGAGGCGGGTGTTCTAACATCATGGAATAATGGTTCTTGGCGTTCCCAATACTCTCTGTCCTTAATTTGGATGTGCCCAAGGGGTTGAACTTTCAGGCTCAGGAATTAATCTGCATTAAATCTGATCGCAGTGTGACCTTGGGACAATTACTTAACCTCTGTGTTTCGGTCTCCTCATCTGTAAAATGGAGTCAACAATGATGAGAATAGTGCTCAGCTCATAGCACGGTAAGCGACAGCAATGATAGTCATTCCAGGACGTTAGACCCTCCGGCGCTCATTTTCCTCGGAGTTCGGCTGTACCTAATCGGATTCAAAGCGTATTTTCCTGACTCCTAGATATTAAATGTCCGAGAATTTCTGTAGGTTGAGGGGGGGGGGTGTTAGCGGGCGATAAGACTTTGATCTAACGAAGGGGATATACTTAGGTGACCTTGCAAGCCGCATGATTTGCTGTCGGTTTCTAGATGAGTCCCACGGTTAAGCGTACACACTGCTGGGAAGGATTTATATTTTAAGACGTCTTTCCTGATGGCTAACTGAAGTTTTCTAAATGACTCGTTTTATTCCTCATTTATGGAGATGTTGAACAGTCCTTTTTGTTTTATATTGGAACAATGAATACTTGACAGCAATTGCCAAAAAAAAACCCCATCCAAATCCAGTTTTTAAAATTTCTTTTAACGAACTGGGGGTGGTAGAAACGGAGGTGGGCGGGGGGTGGGGGTGGCTGGGTGACGGGCACTGAGGGGGGCACTTGATGGGATGAGCACTGGGTGTTACTCTATATGTTGGCAAATTGAACACCAATAGAGAATAAATTTATTAAAAAATTGGCAAAAAATTTAAAATAAAATTTCTTTTGTCTTAGACTCCAATCCTACTTCTGTACATCCCTCCTCTCTGAGGCTGAACCCGGTGAGGGGCCTCGGGACCCTATGGGGGCACTGATTAAACCCAGAACGCTAACAAGACTCAGGCATCTATGTCAGGTGCTAAGTTAGGAAGGGGCCATTTGTTTTATATACGGTGACTTCTCTCAAGGAGGAAAGAAGCACCAACCTCCACTTGCCAGATTCACAATGCCCCGGGTATGGCATAGTGATATATTTGATTTTATTAACACATAATCACACTCTTGAAACATCTTATTGTAACATTCGAGGTGTATTTGATTTTGCCATTCCCAAATATTATTCATTCATTCACTCACTCAGCAAGTATTCATTGCATGCTATAAACACACAGGGTGTGTGCTAGACTTTTTCCATATAGGCCTTCTGGCCCTAACTGGATTATGAAGCTTTTCAGAGCAGGGATACCGCACCTTCCTCGTATTTTATCCCAAGCCTCAGCCTGTAGAAGACATTCAACCAATGCAACAAGCATATATCACGTAAATGAAAAGTGGGAGGCAGGTACTATGCTTGCTGTGCATAACCAAATGATAGAATATTTATTTCTATGTCTTGTTCATCTTTAAACTCAAAATTTAAGAACACGAATGCAAACATCACCTCCATGAATAATATACGTCAGGAGTATTACGTTGGACCTTTCACTTACGTGAAGTGTATAATCTATACGCTTCTATAAAAACAAGAGATCAACAACCTACATAAATTTTTCAGGGAATCGAGAGTTTTTGGTGAAAATAATAAGTTTAAAATAGGATTTCTTGCAGACTCACATCCGCTTTCATGTAGCAAAAGGAAATGAGCAAAGAAATCTAAGCACGCTGATGTTTTCAGGGCCACGCGTTTTGATCCAATATGTTCTGCTATAAAATATTTGGCCTTGTTTGAATCTTTATTGCTGTGTGTTCTCAGTCTTTCTTTAACTGGGAGAAACACAAGTAAGAAAGAGTAAATTGCAACATGTTCTTTTCAAGTGTATGGCAGCGAATTTGAGAAAACCTATATTAAAGGAACGCTTTGTGTTTTTCACTTCCAGCCCCTTTTCTGAGGCCTCCGTTGGCCAGAAATGATGAAATGTTTATTGGACCAAGGACTCAGTTGACTTGGAATGAGAATTCTTAAGGGTCTCTGAGAGCCACCTACGATCAGTGCCTTACTTCTCCGTGTCTTTCGTGCTCTTTTTCAGAGATGAAATCAGGTCTACTTAGAAAGTTTTAGAATGGAGACATTCAATTCCCCAATTCCTTATTTGCTCAAATTAACTTTTTAAAAATTGGGGTGTTCACTCTGGCATCAGCTCAGTGCAGACTCTGTAATCAGCCAGCAATCTGTGCCTCACAGAGGCTGCCGTCCTTCACTGCCAGCTTCTTCCAGCCACACCTTTTCCGTGGGGTAATACATCTTAATTGGCGCCTCTCCGGGAGTCCCTCTCCTTTCCATCTGGCCAAATAAACACACGTTTTCCCCCATTCAGCTTTAACTTCTTGGAAAGAGAATAGGCTTGCCACAACGGGCAATCTTTAAGATGCACAAAGTCCTAAAGTGAAGGGAATGGGTACAGGTGGTGCCATCTGGGGCTGTCTAGTTAACCCACCTACAGAGTGGCTTTGTGCTCAACAGTGTTTTAACACTGCTCTCCTGGTTGAAACTGCAGCTCCCGAGCAGTGTCAGTGTTGAGACCTCTGTGTCCGCTCAGAAGGCAAATGAGTGATGAGATATCCCATTTCCAAGGGCAGCACCACTTCCTGAAGACAGGCTTACTATCAACCTAATTCCACTGGTCAGATTGGAGCAAGTGCAACCAGGAGGCAGGGCGGTGGAATGATGGTTAAGAGCACAGGCCCTGCGGTCAGACTGGGTTCACATCCTGTTGCTGTCAATATGTGACCTGTGAGACTTCAGTCAATCAAATTGCTCCGTGCCTCGGTTTTCCCATCAGTAAAATGGAGATGATATTAGTACCAACCTGATAAGGTCATCGTGAAGGTCAATGAGATATACCGACACGTTTAGCCGAGGGCTTGCCTCATGTTCACTAGTAATTATTTCTAGGCAAGGTCAGTAGGCCAAATTCTTTGGGCACCAGAAAGGGAGGGAGAGGGTAACAGCTCTGCAGGGATTCCTCAAATAATTCCTCACTCCTTAAATGTTTCCCTTTTTATGCAGCTCTGTCATGAGCAGAAGGTAAGGGAGGACCAGAGATGCCAGCGTTGGAGCGTGCACCCACTGCTTCAGTGTGGACTCCTTCCTTTGGGACTTTGGATAGGATGCCTGTTTTTCTCTAAGTCTCAGGGTCATCTTGGCTCTAATGACTGCTTTCAGGTCAAAACAGCCAGGCCTGCTTTCTTAATCACTACGGGCAGGTAAGGTGGTGTTTCTCTTGCTCGTATCTGGTCTATGTTTCTCTCCCTTTCCACATCTTCCCTTTCTCTCCATCCCGCTTTGGTCAGAGACCTTCCTCAGCCATCAGGCCTTCCTCCATGCACTATCACAACCTGGGATGTAAGAAGGTGGCCGACTTGAACGGCGGGGCCCACAGGTCCCTGTGAATCCCAGGGGCACAAGGCTTCTGAGCAGCAGGCGGGGGGGGGGGGTCTCTCACCGGTCGCTTTGTCAGGGTTGTTGCACATGAAGCACTGCCATGCTCCTGCTGCTTCGCTGAAGCCAAATACGTCAAAGAATCTCACTTCTTCCAGATGGAGCTGTACCTGGTCCAGATCCTGTTCCAGGAACACAAAGCACAAAGAACTCATAAGCGGGTGTGCCGGCCGCACAGCATTGTGAGGCTGGAAGGAAGGGCTCTGAGAGCAGGATGGCCGGTGCTCCCACTCAGCGCTGCGGACACGGAGGGAGCACCGAGAAAGGCTCCCGTGGGCATCCCGGGCGGCCTCAAACCCCTCCAATGTGGTACTCCTCCGGGCAGAGGGCCGTGAGCACGCGGCCCAGGCTGGGCCCAGCCGCCAGGGTGCGGCCTGCAGTGGCAGGTGCATTCCCTTGCACCTAATGGCAGCTCCAGAATCTCTAAAAAGGTTGGGCAGCCAAGGGACAGTGGGGCTGAAAGCAATGCTGCAGGGGCGTTTGTCTTTTACGTACACTTTGCATAAAACTGGGAATCGACCGTGCATATAAAAAATTATTTTTGTCATGTTGGTTTTGCAGGAGGCTTATGGGAAATATGGGAGAGGGCTAATCCCTCGGCCCTGGGCTCTGGCACTGTTTTAGGTCTACATTTTATCTTAAAAGTATATGCAAACCTTGCGTTACATTCCGTGATATGGCTGTGTCGGTTCTAATGGAAAATAATGTCTTAAATGACTTATCAGTAAATTAATTAACTTCTCCCTCCCAAGAGCTGAGTTGGACCGACCCACCGAGGACGCCGCCCCTGTCTTGGGTACCCTGCGGCGTTGTGCCAGTGTGTCCCCGTTGAAGACGCAGGGGAGAGCGGTTCCATCACACTGTAAATGGACGGAATACGATTAGCCTGAGCAAGTTAAATCGCTCTACTGTCCTCCCGAGGCTCTCCTGTTATGTAAATGGCTTGTACCCTCTGCTACAGGGTGGTCAGAACCACATTCTTAAAAGCTTGCTTTCCTAAGAGGGATTTTTTTTTTTCCTAAGAGGGATTTGATGTCTTTGCTAGCTAGCCTTACATGTGCCCAGATGACGGATGGGTTTGTCCTCTGCTGAGTTGTGATTTTATTCCCTTTCCTCTGGTCCACACACTCTGACCTTCTCCCCAGGGTGACAGCTCCCAGTAAGCTCAAGAGCCAAGGGATGGAGGCACTGTGCTGCTTTCGACGGATCTAAAATAGAGAATGGGCAAGTGGCTCCTCAGTCCCTACCCTAAAGTTCCTGTTTCTCAGGTCTACATTTCTTGACAGAGGTGAGAAATATGCCGAACTCTAAGCTCCTTGAGAGAATAAGCATCTATTTTGTTCACAGTTGTATCCCCAGGATCTAGTCCAACATCAGGAATGGATTAATAGCACTAGCTTACAAGCCCGGTGCAAAGTTTTCCAATGAGCTATATGAAAGTATTATGAACACTTAAAGGGAATTCTTTTAAGAGAACATTTACACTCACCGGAACATAAACACAGTGAAGGCAGGGATTTTCTCTGTTATATTGGCTGCTATGATCCCAGCACTAAAAATGCCTATCACATAAGCAAGCATTAAATAAATATATGTGGAATAATAAAAGGTATAAACTGGGACCAGAAATACATCCTTTTCAGCACTCTTTATTAAGACTGTGATGGCTTGTGTTCTGGGATTGGACATCTTGGAGGCTCAACATGCTGAATACAGAGTTTTGAGTTGCTAACGTTTAATATCATTTTTTTAAAAGCATGTTCCCAAGGTAAAGACTGAAGAAGCACCTGGGAGTTTTGAAGGTTTCAAAGGATGGAATCTATATTAAAATTTATGGGGGGAAAAGCAGATGTTCATAAATATCAATTTCAAAACTGCGAAGTCTCTGAAGTCTATGCTTGGCCATTGGGATGCAGATCACTTCTCTATCGCTCACACAACTAAGGACCAACTTTTCATTCACCACAAACACTGCTAACAAACAAAGTACTTAAAATAATACTTAAGGGTTCCTTTATCTTTCCTGTTCTGAGACCAGAAAAGTCCCAGGTTGTTGCTTATAATCCACACTTGCCTTGGCAAAAAAGTTACTTGAAAAGTTTAGGACAGATGGCAAGCTACATCCCAGTATTCAAGTTCTGAAGTCAAAAGCAGGCTTACTTCTTCAGAGGATTTAGGTGTTGTGCAAAGGGAACTGACTGAAGAAGATAGACAGTAATTCTATGAACTGTTGGAATCAGCAATAACAGCCAACTTTGAATATAGACAGATGAAACACACGTGGCTCCAAATATTGTTGGAAATTCAAAGTAATATCAGTCACAAAACAAGCAAACAAAAACGTGAACTAGTGATACCTAAATTTTTGGAATTTTGGTTTCCTGACTGTGCTTGAGATGATCATTTCTCTCCCCAACTTCTTTATGCTTCTGGGTCCTATAGCTTCCCAGGCCTTGCCCAGGAATTGCTTATATTATTTTATTTATTATTTATTTATTTATTTATTTTTTTGAAACTAAACATACTCTTTTTTTAAAAATTTTTATTTATTTATGATAGTCACACACACACACAGAGAGAGAGAGAGGCAGAGACACAGGCAGAGGGAGAAGCAGGCTCCATGCACCGGGAGCCCGATGTGGGATTCGATCCCGGGTCTCCAGGATTGCGCCCTGGACCAAAGGCAGGCGCTAAACCGCTGCGCCACCCAGGGATCCCATGATTTTATTTTTTAATACAAGAGAACTAAAATTGATTTGTTTAAAGAATTACAAGCTTCTTTTAAAAACAATTAGAGTCCAGAAGAATAATAAAAATCATGCATATCTAAGTGGAGTCCCTCCCTGAGTAGTTCAATGGGATTGTGGTGGACAGACCCTCTGGGAACCCTACTCCCAATAATTCCCACCTCCTGGTATTCATCTCTTCATGTAATCCTTTTCCCTTAAGCGTGGAAGAGATTTGTGACTTGCTTCTAAGAAAATGGCAAAGATAATATCAATTCGATGATTACGTTATTATGTACACACACATACATACCACTTACACACTACTCATGTATATACACCACATCGACCTATCTTATTAGCAAGTGCATAGGGAGACTCTCCTGTTGGCCTGGAAGAAGCAAGCTGCCATGTTGTGAAGGAGGGGGCTACATGGCAGGTAACTGTGGGTGCCCTCTAGGACCTAAAGGCGGCTCTCAACCAGTAGCCAGTATGAGTTCCAGGCCTTTAGTCCTTCCACCCCAAATAAATGGTATCTGCTAACAGCCTAAGCACATTTGGAAGCAGACCCTTCCCATTCAAACCTCCAAATGAGACCACAGCCCAGCCTGTATCTTGATTTTGCAGGCTTGGGAGACCTTGAGCAGAAGAGCCAGCTAAGTCACAAGCAGAGTCCTGACCCAAGAAAACTGCGATAACAAACAGATATTGTTTTGAGCTGCTAGGCTTTGGTAATTTGTTACGCAGCACTAAGAATCAATACTGACATTGTGCCATGAAGAAGGGAAGGTGACGGATACCCTGTTGGCCAATTCTCAGTGAAAACGATGAATCTACTTAGAGGGGTTTAATTCTTCTGAGAACACTCCAGATCGGGCCTCAATAAAATCAGAAGGATATAAAGAGAAAGAGGTATAATCACAGTAAGAATATGCTAAAAAAGTTTTCCTGATAAACACCATCAAATTCAAAAGGGATAGAAGCCCCTGGAGGAAAAATGATGTTTTTAAACAGTTGATCAAATGAATGTTTCTCCAGTTTTTTTTTTTCATCATCAATGGGAGTAGGAATTTGCAGAACTATATACAAAGTCTCTTGCAAAGTCTCTTAGGGGAAAAATAAGCCAGATAGCATGGAAAGATGAGAGCATACTTATAACATTATTTTGATGACGGTGACAGCATGAGTCAATGCTATGGATTCCGTAAAAGTGCAAAGTAGCCTCTGGATCTTATAACGTGGTCGATGTACTGTGAGAGGGTACGGGGAAGCAATTTTCCAGAAATCAGTGAAAGCCTACATCTGGAAGAACTTTGGGTTCTGGTACATTTAAATTCTGTTTAAAGCTATTTTTGCGCAGATACAAAACATGGCATTGCCTCATGTGTTCTGTGCACCTATGGTTAATGGGATCAACTCTAGGCACATACCTCAAGTATGTTTTAAGAAATGTAAACAAGAGGTTTTTTTTTTCTTTTTTAACGATCTCCAATATTTTCACATAATATTATTTATGGTTATTTCTAGTGCCTGAATTCTAACTATATGGAGTCCAGGGTGTGCAATAAACTTACTGAAGGAACAAAATTAATGAGGCATCCTTATATCATTTATCTTTCTATTATTTATATTGTCCTACATTGTGCAACCATGAGGTCTTGTAAGAAACATACTGTATGCTGAATGAATAAATCACCAAGAGAGACTCTAAAAAATATTTATGCTGTAATTTAATTTTTAAATTTACTTCAACTTCTGAAAAATGTTACTATAAAATTTAACTTATAGCAATTAGTATTTATGGCATCCAGTGTCAGGAATCAAGGATAAATGGAGGAAGGAGACGCCATCCCGTACGCCAAGAATGTTGACACAGTAATGCACTGGGTCCATAGTATTCCTCACAGAGGAAAACTGGAATACATCTTTATTTGTGTTTAGTTGTGGTCATTATTAAGTTTCTTCTGGTGTGACTCTTGGCTCTCAACCGGATTAAGCCCCCTTGGCAAGAAGACTAATTTCTATATTACATGGTAGCTTCTGAAAATACTAAGTATAGCGCGTTGCCCATAAGAGATGTTCAATGAATCTTTTTAAATTTTTGCTAATTGAGACACATAGATTTGTGATTTATATTGATAGTAGCATTTAGATTTCTGTTCTTTGTTTTAAGTAGGCTCCATGCCCAGTGTGGAGCTCAATGCAGGGCTTGAACTCACAACCCTGAGATCAAGACCTGAGCTGAAACCAAGAATTGGACACTTAACTGACTGAGCCACGCGGGCACCCTAGCATTTAGGTTGTTAATTTTCACATCTATTCAATTATGCCCACTAAGATCTTTTAGAACATTTTTGTTTTTAAAAAACATACCTACATCTCTATGTATATTGGAG